ATATATTATGTTGTTAAAATTATGACCACCAATAATAAATCCTTGTAGGACATCTAATTCTCTCTCTCTCTCTCTCTCTCTCTCTCTCTCTCTCTCTCTCTCTGTCTGCTGTCAACACTGTGCCATCTCATATATATTATGTTGTCTGACCACCAATAATAAATCTAGGAAATCTAATTCTCTCTCTCTCTCTCTCTCTCTCTCTCTCTGTCTGCTGTCAACACTGTGCCATCTCATATATTATGTTGTTGTCTCCTGGTAGGACATCTAATTCTCTCTCTCTCTCTCTCTCTCTCTGTCTCTCTCTCCTGTCTGCTGTCAACCTTGTACCCATCTGCTATATTATGTTGTTAAAATTCTGACCACCAATAATAAATCCCTGTAGGAAATCTAATTCTCTCTCTCTCTCTCTCTCTCTCTCTCTCTCTCTCTCTCTCTGTCTGTCTGTCAACTCTGTGCTGTCAACACAGTGTCATCTGCATATATTATGTTGTTAAAATTATGACCACCAATAATAAATGTGGGAAATCTAATTCTCTCTCTCTCTCTCTCTCTCTCTCTATCTATCTGTCTTCCACTCTCTAATAAATCTGGTGATCTGCATATCTAATTCTCTCTAATCTATTCTCTCTCTCTCTCTCTCTCTCTCTCTCTCTCTCTGCTGTCAACACTGTGCCCATCTGCATATATTATATTTGTCAATAATAAATCCTGGTAAATCTAATTCTCTCTCTCTCTCTCTCTCTCTCTCTCTCTCTCTCTCTCTCTGTCTGCTGTCAACACTGTGTCATCTGCATATATTATGTTGTTAAAATTATGACCACCAATAATAAATCCCTAGGAAATCTAATTCTCTCTCTCTCTCTCTCTCTCTCTCTCTCTCTCTCTCTGTCTGTCTCTGTCTTCCATCTGCTCTATATTATATTTGGTCTATTCTCTCTCTCTCTCTCTCTCTGTGGTCAATCAATCTGTCTTCATATATTCTGTTGTTAAAATTATCTGGTAGGAAATCTAATTCTCTCTCTCTCTCTCTCTCTCTCTCTCTCTCTCTCTGTCTGCTGTCAACACTGTTCCATCTGCATATATTATGTTGTTAAAATTATGACCACCAATAATAAATCCCGGTAGGAAATCTAATTCTCTCTCTCTCTCTCTCTCTCTCTCTCTCTCTCTGTCTGTCTGTCTGTCTCTGTCATCTGCATATTATGTTGTTAAAATTATGACCACCAATAATAAATATGACCTGTCTGCTCTCTCTCTCTCTCTCTCTCTTCTCTCTCTCTCTCTCTCTCTCATCTCTCTATGTTCTCTCTGTCTGTCTAATTCTCTCTCTCTCTCATCTCTCTCTATCTTATCTTGTTAAAATTATGACCACCCAATAATAAATCTCGGTAGGAAATCTAATTCTCTCTCTCTCTCTCTCTCTCTCTCTCTCTCTCTGTCTGCTGTCAATCTGTCTGCCATCTGCATATATTATGTTGTCTTCCTCTGTCTGCTGTCAACACTGTAATAAATCCTATCTGTCTTCCTCTCTTCTCTAATTCTCTCTCTCTCTCTCTCTCTCTCTCTCTCTCTCTCTCTCTCTCTCTCTTCTCTCTGTCTGCTGTCAACACTGTGTCATCTGCATATATTATGTTGTTAAAATTATGACCACCAATAATAAATCTGAAATCTAATTCTCTCTCTCTCTCTCTCTCTCTAGAAATCTAATTTCTCTCTCTCTCTCTCTCTCTCTCTCTCTCTCTCTCTCTCTCTCTGTCTGCTGTCAACACTGTATCATCTGCATATATTATGTTGTAAAATGTGGACCATCAATAATAAATCCTGGTAGGAAATCTAATCTCTCTCTCTCTCTCTCTCTCTCTCTCTCTGTCTGCTGTCAACACTGTGTCTTCTGCATATGTTATGTTGTTAAAATTATGACCACCAATAATAAATCTAGGACATCTAATTCTCTCTTCTCTCTCTCTCTCTCTCTCTCTCTCTGCCATCTCTCTCTAAAATTCTCTCTCTCTCTCTCTAATTCTCTCTCTCTCTCTGTCTCTCCTCTCTGTCATCTGCCATATATTATGTTGTTAAAATTCTGACTGTCAATAATAAATCCCTGGTAGGAAATCTAATTCTCTCTCTCTCTCTCTCTCTCTCTCTCTCTCTCTCTCTCTGTCTGTCTGTCTGTCAACACTGTCCCATCTGCATATATTATGTTGTTAAAATTATGACCACCAATAATAAATCCCGGTAGGAAATCTAATTCTCTCTCTCTCTCTCTCTCTCTCTCTCTCTCTCTCTCTGGTCTATCTCTCTGTCTTCTGTCTCTGTCTGCCATCTGCATATATTATGTTGTTAAAATTCTGTCACCAATAATAAATCCTATCTATTTCTCTTCTCTCTCTCTCTCTCTCTCTCTCTCTCTGTCTTCTCTCTCTGTCTGCTGTGGTCTGCATATATTATGTTGTTCTTCCACCAATAATAAATCTGTAGTGGTCTAATTCTCTCTCTC